CCTCCCCTCCTTCCTTCCAACAAAAACATCTTATCCTTGACAAAACTTTGCATACTTTCTAATCTAACATAGGTGTTTCTGCTTTTTTTTAAATTATCTTGCCTGCCAACTATCTTGACACAAAAAGTTACAATAGAAAATGTCAGAAAAAAAATGTAGGCATATTGTTTGGGAATTAAGGTATGATCTAATTAGCAACATCTAATTAACATATTACAAATATGTTTTTCATTGTGGTACAAAAGTGTTGGGGGCAGAACAAGCCTGCACTKTGCTATGACTATTGTATAACAAATACTTGTTCCATACCTCCTTCCATTTTGTCTCATTAACTTCTTTGTACTGCAATTCATACTCCAGAGTAATCCATCCCTTCCGAACATCTGCTGTTGGTGGTGGATCCCATCTTACCTGGATATCCCCATGGATCCCAGTCTGACTAGTATTTAGCAGAGTCCAGTTAAGGTGGACAGGGGGATCAGGTAGCACTGTTTAGACAGAGTATTTGGAATAAAACAGCCAGTGAAATGATCATTCTTACTACATACTGATAAATGACTGCAGAACTTAAAACTGTATTAACTATGTATTTTCTGATCAAAAGCTAACATATTGCAATGACAAAGTCATTCCAAGTGTGGTAGCAAGAAGGCACCCTGCCACTGGCAGTAGACATGCTCTGCACAAATCTCACCCAAGCAATGATAAAGCAGATTAAGAATGTATTCCCTACTGAAGCGTATTTCTGCATAGCAGATTATAAAACTCTAAATAGAAWCATTTATCCATCAAAATTTAAATCTAAAATTCTGACTAGAAATAAAAAAATACAATTGCATTCTTAAATGAGAATAATAAATTATTTCCATAGAAAGACAAATATTTATCACCAATACRGAAGTACATTGAAAAACTATGGCATCTGAAAAACTAATCTAAATTTGCTCAGATGAATAAAAGAGAGCAGGGGTATTCTAGTCACCTATAGGAATAAATTATCTGCATATGCAGTTAATGGTGGTACACTACAACTCTGAAGAAGCAATAACATCTGTAAAGTCCCAGGCTGCCGCAATTCATATTGCCATAAAWATAAATCTAGCTTAGAAATACTAAAAATACTGATCCTTTAGATTACAGTTGATCCAGAAATAAAAYAGCGCTGTGCTTGCAGAGCTTTGCAGAATCAAGGTTTTAATACCATCCTTGCTGGACAAGGAGATGTAGCATCCATTAGAAAGGACTCAAAGTGACAGCAAAGACCAGCTCATTTGAGCATGCACACATTTGAGAGTCCACTGGTATTTAGAAAAGGAAACCATATATTTGCTTTTAACCCTTTAGCTGGTATTTAGAAAAGGAAATCACATATTTGCTTTTATCCCTTTAGCTTTCTTCCAATCAAGGCAATATTTTCTGGTGTGTATCACATTACAGGTGTTACAAAATCAAATCACTTCCAATATATCRTATTTTTTAGATACTAACTTTTCTGAGAGGCAAATTTAAATACAGTCTGAGTAATACAAAAGCTTACAGAGGTAAGATGTGTAATGGAAGCATACCTATTTCATCAACACTGAAACATTTTTTATCAAATACTTCATTTTCACTGGCAAGCTGAACACAGTATGGTGTCCAAACAGAGGTGTAGGATGCGTTGAAATAACAGCTGTTTTGTCCTGAAGTGATATAATCAGGGCATTCTTTCCAGTCTTCCTCATTACTAGAATGACAACAAAAATGAAGTATTTGTGAGAGAGAGTTTTATAGATCTTACAAAATACAAATTACAGACGCTATGAGACACATTGCTGATCAGTTGCAACGCTTATGAAAGAGAGAAAAACATGTCAATATCGACGGTGATTTTAATGAAACCACTAGCCAAGCAACCTGCAAAAACCAGTTTAGATACTCATGTACTCTTAGTAGCAGTTCTGAGCTTTGGATGCACCTTCAAAAGCACTGATGGCTCACACTTGGGAAGGTGCCTGACTGTGGAGGCTGCAGGACACCCTGCACAAACCAGCCCAGGGCCATACGATGTAAAAGAGGAGAAACATGGTTCTGTGAGGGAGGAAGGGCTAGACTCCATGTGATACAAATCTTCTAAAACAGAAGTTTGGAATTACTAGCAAGAATCCTCTTTTATTTTTTCACAGTGACTTKGTTCAATAATTCATAAATGTTCTTTGTAAATAAAAGATTTGCAACAGGAAATATCACGTCCATTTCAGCTCCTAAAAAAAGACAAACCAGCCAAGTTACAGAGTGGCATGAACCTCAGACTGAAATCTGAGATAGAATCATTTTAAATATAACTAAGCTTAAACTGCTCAGTAGGTTCAGGAAGGTCTTCAGTTAGAGCAAAAATGGGAATGGCTAAATAGTAATACTCTGCTGGAAAAGTGACAGATGTAGTCAACATTTCTGAAGTCATATGAGTAAAAAACCCTCATAGCAAACAGACCTGCTGTTGCCTTTTTTTAATCTCAATGTTATCTCAGCACAACCATAAACTGAAAAATAACCTTTTCAAAAATTACAGTCCTGGTTTGTTAAAAATATGTACCATAAATGCCAATTTTTACTAAGAGGCACTGAAGCTGCACAGAGGGATGATTACATCAATTACACCAAGTGCAGCATTCAATACTGGAGTGAGTGCTTTAAAACTAAAAAACACAGACACTACATAAATTAGAGTAAGAAGCATTTCTGTCACTGGTCTTGTACCCAGCTGGTGCGACCAGATGCTGTTCTGAATGAAATGCTGTAACTCTGAGAGTCAGGACTTGATAAARGTGTACACAGTTAGATGCTGTGGCTTCTGTAAGCAGGAAAGTGGTTTGTATTACAGAATTCAGTCCTGAGCCTTAGCTGTTGATTGCACATTGAAACAGAAATATTTTTACCACATCTTTTATTGCAGTATTCTAATTTCTAGGACAAAGATATGCTCAATGTACATGGTACTTCTTCATTGTGGAATTTAATTAGTATTTAAAGTTTGTAACCTTATGGTACATGCTATTGACAGCTGTCAGCTAAACCTGTTTATTAAGTATAAAAGAGAGTGTCCTTCCCCATGGCAGAAGGGTAGGAAAATAGGSGAATCTTTAGGTCCCTCCTAACCCAAAYCATTCTGTGACTCTTTTATTCAACTGTTCTATGATTTCTGAGATGTGTCAGAAGAGTAACTAAGAAAGCCAGCCTTGCCATTAGGCTATGCAGAKGTATCATCATTCAGAAAGTGTCTGTAGATCAAAACGATTGAAACCCTGTTTATTAGAGGGAACTGTAATTCAYATCCTCCTGTTCCTGTGAACAAAAGGCCTATTTTCCTTAATAGCCATTACTGGTAATGTCTATGTCCTCTTTCAGGCTAATCATTGTAACAACCTGAAAATTAAAAAAGTGGAATGTGAATTGTAACTGAACAGGGCTCAATGAAACATTATCCCCTGTTATCAGAGCAGCTTTTTCCCTGGACCTGTMCATTCAGAGTTTATCAAATAGGAACTTTACAAAAATTTAATAAAAATTTGAAAGGGGCTATATCCGACCTCCACAGACACAGTGTCAGACTGTGGCTAGAAGGCTAGAAGTCAGACTGATAAAGAATAGACTGAAGTTGCCTATTAAAAAAATCCTTACCCAAGCTGCATAGTGTTCAGTTTTGGATTCTGAAACCTGGACCTAAATCTAGTAAGAATGTGTTCTTAATTATCTGCCAAATAATATTTGTTTCTGCAAATTGCTTAGTAATTACAAAAAAAATCTGGTCTTGAAGAAAATGTACTTAAAACATAGTTTTATACCCTTAAAAAGTTTGGCTCATATCACAGTAAAAAATTAGCAGTACCAAGCTAACAAGCACGGCAAAATAAATAACTTCACTCTCTTTTTCCGTTTCAGCTTTTATTACCTTTTCTTGTACAACAGCTGTATTATTCTTGGAGCAGTGAGGTTATAAAAATTTCCAGCAGTCCAATAACATGAAAATGTCTCCATTTCAGGTGATCTGCATTTGCTGATTTGTGGCCACTGCAAAAGGTCTGTCAGGAAAAAAAACAGGGGACAGAAGGATACACATTAAACAAATCCAAAACCCAGACCAACATGGTGTTAAAATGAAACTCAGCATTTTTAATGAATAATTAAAGTTTCTTCTGATGCYTTATGTACAACGAGGCAAGATTTAAATTTTTCTTATGTGCATATCTATCAGACTCACCACAGCTTGGCACGAACCCAGCTGAGATATTTCACAATGCCTGCCCATGACAGAACCCACCCTGAGCTGAGCTCAGGTTTGTGTGCACAATGCCATGTGGATATAAYCTTGTTCTGAGGCAGATAAGGGAACCTCTAAGCATGGGCTTGTTATGCCACATGCCACTTCTAAAATCCATAATTTCTATTCTTTGTCAAAACTGAAATGATGAAAGGTCATAAAATGACTGTTACAATAAGAGAGCTTCAGCAACCCTTGTGAGAAAAAAAAAAAAAAAGCAAAAGTTGCAGATATGATTCTGCTTTCAAAGTAAAGCCTTGACTTAACTTCTTCCTGATTATGAAGGGTCTAATTGCCAATGTTCCCTATTTGGGCTGGAAAGCTTTCAGAGGAAGAACAAATGCACACGTGTCTACTGCTCTTCACTGACCATCTGGGAAATACAATTTATTTAAGAGCATTTCTACAAAAGGCACTTGAGATGTAGATACTAGGTATTTGAGAGTGGTGAAATGATGCCTGAAAAGGGAATGATTTGCCGCTACTGGACCCTGCATGCAAAGTTCTTTGTGAATGCTTTTGCAGTTCCACAGCTGTGAATGTCAGAATTTCAGACAAGATTTCTTCCTCATAAGGAAGAAATGTTTTAGGATCAGAGTGGTGAAACACTGGAAGAGATAATCAAGACACGTAGGTGGTGCCCCACCCCTGGAAACATCCAAGACCAGGCTGGATGGGGCTCTGAGCAACCTGTTCAGGGTGAAGATGTCCTGGGTGATTGCAGGGGGGTTGGATTAGAGAATCTGTACAGAGATCCAAACCATTCTGTGATTCTGTGATAACACTTGATACAAGACATTTACCCTCAAAGTCAATACAGGTATTAAGATGTAGACATCCACAAGCACTATACACCTCCTCCTACACAAGAGGGTATCGTGGCCTTCCTTTATTTATGGCTCAGACAGACACAGCCACTCCATGCCTGAGCAATCCATATTTCTTGGGCTCAATGATTTAAGTTCTGTGCTTTACGTTACACACTGCCAAGCATCCACATCAGGCAGTAACTGATACATAAACATCGTGAATTCCTGTTTTGCTCACCCCATACAATTCTCCGATTTTACACTTTGGACAATGAACAAGGCCTGAGCATATGTGTGTAAATAATTTCATGAACTGTGTGGTTTAAACCTTTCTGTCCTCCATCCCCCACCTCCTCAAAGCTTAGAGAACTTACCCTGCCAACCTAGAATAACTGAAGTTTGACTGGAAAAATTTAAACAAAGTTGKTTTTTTTTAATTAGCCAGCATGTTCTTCTTCAGCCAACTTTAAGTAAGTTTTATTTTAAAAATTAAACAAATTTTGAAATGAATTGTTGCTGCAAATGGAAAAAAATTGCACTTTCWTTCATATATATAACAGCAAAACAAAGAAAAATATTTGTTTAAAAACAGAACAAAGAAAAATTAATTAATTTTCAGTCTTTACTTCAAAGACTTGAATAAAATTGCCTCAATTGCACAAAACCTATAATCAAGGAAACACTTACCTCTCCCTTCTTCTATAAACAGTGTGCAAGGAAGTACATGTTATGGCTTTTCCTGTTTCTATCYGCAGCTATATGCAAATATAGTTATTTTTACCACAACAGATGAAGAATTTGAGAAAATGACGTATTGGAAAATTCTCCTAAATTAGAATATTTCTGTGGATGTATTTGTAGCTCTATTTATATCTAGAACATACAATATTTAAAGACCACGCAGACCATGATCTTGTCTCCAGGAGTAAATTAACATAATGAAATTAATTGAATTGAATCAAACTTCACTTAGGATTATGAGAGGTCCATCAGAATCTCAGATACAGGCTCTACAATGTCTTAATAATGAATTCTCTGGAATTTACCAGCTCTATGGACATTTTCAGATGTAAAAACTTTTTTAGAAAAATGGATCGTAACACAACCAGAACGGCATAATTTATAGCAGAGAAGATCAACAGTGCAGAATACAGATTAAGACTTGTTCTCATATATCCTAACTTCAGAGAAATGTATCCCCAAGTCCCTCTTTTCCACTTCATCATGACAGGACTATTAATTCTTTCTCTCACAGATGTTCCTTCAAGAGACACAATAATTTTTGAACAGGGAGTATTTTTGTTTAGGATTCAGTAGATCTGGCTTATTAATTTATATGAATTTATATATTTTTATTTTATGACTATATGAAAGAAATATTATCTAATGATAAACATTTCCAGTTTTTGTGTCAAGTTTCCAAGCTTTCAAAACCACAGATTTTATGACYGACTGAAGAAAACTTTAACATATTGACTTGTGTAAGGCTTGGCATTCCTGGGGTAGAGCTCAGGAATTCCTTGTTTCCCACACAAGTCAATTATCAGAATTGTGCAGGACCCTGTGTGAGCTCCATATGAACAAACTGTCCCAGAATGTGATATCTGTAGGCAGCAGCTCAGCTGAATCCATTTAGGCATAAAGGCAGCAGGGTGTTGAAAGGCTGTCAAACCAAGATTTTAAATAGACTAGAAGAACAAAACAAAGAAGAGCAAAACAATGCATGGATGCACGTATGCTCTTTCCCTATCTAATGCAGTGAGTTCCAGTCAAACTGTCATTAAGGAAATCGCTTTATTCAATATAATGGCCTGACTAAATATGCCAATTCAACAGAAAAAACATGGAAAGTGTCACAAGGCTAATTCCTTTAGAGACTGAATTTCCTTATTTATTTTTTTTTCCTTCACCCTCCCCTTCCATAAAGTCCCTCTAATAAAATTTATCTTTAAAAGGAACTGGAAGTGTGGAAGAGTAAAGAACTGAAATGTATATATACTGGGGGGCAGCAAAGCTGATTATTATCAGAACTGGGGCAAGTCCTACTGCCACCAGACCTCTAGTAGTTCTGCAGGAGGAGTACACAAGTTGTATAGAAATATCTCACTTATTGGTGTGGGACTTGGTAGGTGAAATAATAATGAGGATATGACTGATCCATAAAAACAAAGCTAACTAAACAGAAAATGAAGAAAGGGACTGTACTTTTGTTGAACAAAATAAGGTGTTTCTGGTTGTGAATTTTAGAAAGTTCATGTAGAATTATCCATTATCAGAATTTACTGTACCTATCAAACCTACAGCAAAGTTAAATTTACAAAAGAATAACATGTTCCAATATGCAAATCAGTGATAAGATGAAACCTTGTGCTATCTCTTCATATAATCCACCCTCAAARCACACACAATGTCTCACTGCTAGAGTGCAGTAGAGAGGGGTGGAAATTGTAATATAAAGAAGGGAATTAATTACATTTAAAACTGAAAACAAGTATGAAGAGGTGGTGTGCTATTTCCTGTAGCTCAAATTTGTACATTGGCAGCAAATGCTCTATCAATTAGGTCCTGCTCCTGAATCCACCAAGCTCATCAAAGGCTGCATCTGGTTGATTTCTATGCTACCAGCAAATTCTAATTTGCTTAAATTGGGCAGCAAAATGAACCACATTTGGTGTCAGTGGGTGGTATTTTAAATAAGTGCAATCTAGGACTAATAAATTTCCACATGCCCTATACAGAGAGTGGGAGACACAGCACAGAGACACAACAATCAGGTCACTCCTCCATCAGGCTGTTTGCTAATCTGACCCAGTTTTTGCCCTAAGTAAAATCTGCCCATAAAAGGCCAACAAATTCTGGAACAATTTTTGGGGGAAAAGAAGAAAATTTATTTCATGCCAGTAATAAATTAGATCCTTTTGCATAAAATACTTGACAAGAAACAAAGCAAAGCTTARTAACTCTGACATGCTGTATCACAGTAAAGATGGAACGGAAATGCTGGGTAACAGAATATTTTGGCCATAGAGTAAGTCTAAATATTTTAATAGTTCATGATAAATTCAGGTGTTTTGCTTAGTATCATGAAAGTGGAATAAGTATTTACCTTTGCATTGAAGACTAATTTTGTGACTGTTACCTCAAAATACATTATGTAGACATCCCTGCGAAATCAGTAACTATTCAGGCTGTTCTTTCAGAAAAAAAACCAACAAAAACTTCTGTTTTTTGTTAAGTGAGACTGATGTAGCTAAAGTCATACAAGTCTGCAGAAGCAGAGCTTATTCCATAGCACAGAAGTCCAACGGCTGTGCTGATTTCCCACACTTTCTGTGCTATTAAGTGTCTACAGAACAGAAGTGAACRTGGCTCACTGATGTGGTCCATAAGGGTAGCCCACACAAACACAGTAAACGAAGTTTGGGACTGAGGGAAAACGCAATCATGCAGCWTTATGAGAGAGTCCAGGGAGGAGTGAGGATGTGGACATGTGTCATGCTCCATGGTATTTTGCATGTGCTTTCCAAATCATGCCCTCCCATGTGCAGTGGAGGAATCAAGTGATTCCTTACAGGTACAGCCCTGTCTGCTGGCCTGCCTTCATATACAGCAAATAAAGAGAAGCAAAGCCAAAGGTTATGGCATTTGTAAATGAAAGGCAGTTAATGGAACAAACCCATTTCCAATTTTCTCTTACTTGTTTACATAGTTGTAATTTAGATTGAAATGACATTCTGGAGAAACTATGTACAAAAATAATAATGTGTAATGCTCTTATCCACTACAGCCATTGCTGGAGTTGTTCAGTATTGGCTACCATTGTGTGGTAAGGCATATGAGAAAACAYGGAAGCACAAATGAGGTCCCATGGGAAAACAGAATGTGCAATAAGCAAACACCATGAGAGGTCTTCCATGACCTTCTCAGTGCAAACAAACTCTACTGATAAAAA